AAATGTGTAACTAAAGAAAAACTAAAAATTTTTTGGCAGTCTATAAATTACAATATGATACAGATATAATTTGCCACCATGAGGCACCCTGTGCCACAGAGGGTGATTCTATTTACCTTATTAAGCAATAGAGATGTTAAACAGCTCAAAATGAAATAATGTGGCAGCCTTGTTTTGTTCTTTAGAAGAAAGTGTTGCTTTACAAAGCAGCCATGGGGGAGGGGGACTTCACACAAAATATCATCAAAGCAAAACAGCATTCAAAGTTTTATTGGGCTTAGGGTATGATTTTGTATGTGGTTCCTTAGCCTTCTGTCCAGAATTTACTTATTTATTTATTCATTTATCAAATGAATATTTGAGAATTCTCAAATATTCAGGGTGTCCCTGCTGCTAAAGAGTTCCATATCAAGACAAATGCAAAATATTTTTTTTCATTCTTTTTTTGGGGGGTGGGATTTGCTATTCCAAAATGTTGTGGTGGCTTTAAACATACTCACAAGGGGCTGCTCCTCCATTACATGGGACAAACCAACTTTGGCCATCTTTTTTTTCTTCCCAAGTTCTCATGGAATTGGTTTCTTCTCAACTTCTAGTCCACCAGCCACCAGCTTTGATCCACAGATGTACTGATATTAAAATAATATCTTTTTTTTTCTTAAAATATCTTGAGGTATTTTATCACTGTATCACTCGTTACCTTGGAGGAAAGTTAGGTGACTGGGAATTAGGGATAAGAATGGACACTTAAGAAAAACCAATGTTATGGCCAAGATCTGCTTTCTGTAGTTCTAGGGATATAATTCAGCCATGGGAAAGGTCCCTTAGCTACTAACTATGATGTCTATTTATTATAACTTCTAATATTAGAGTACATGGTTCTGTGTGTTGGATTGGCCATTCATCTTTATTTAAGATTTAATTTTGGCTGAATTTTGAATGAACAGAATGTTTGATTCCTATCTCTAGACTGATATCAGAAGTGCCTGCAAGGTATAGTAAAAAAAACAAAGCAAAATGGCAGCCTTGATGGTGTAATCATGACACAAACATAAAGCAGGCAGATCTCATTGTTATTGCTGTCATTTTTATTCTTTAATCAATACCTATAGACACCACTGTTAGATAGAAGCCAGTTTTCCTGACTTTCTTATTTTAGGCTAGTATTTTTAATTCAGGCTACAGTAGATCAGAATAGAGTTCTTTTTTCATAGCTTTCCTAGTGTTAAAAATTAAGGGGTTTGTTTGTTTAATTGATTGATTTACCAATTGTCTTTTAAAAGCTGGGATGAAGTGATATGTTTGAAAAAAATCCTCTAAACAATATGTAAAATATATCTTTCCCTGCTGATCAGGAAAGCAAAATCCTTATGTTGCTTCCCCACCCCCACCCCTCTTTTTAAATTATTCACTAAGTTTAATATTCATTGGCAGCACTTGAAAGGCTTGTGTTTATGCCTTTTTCCAGCATCTTACTTGTAGCTTATTAAAAGCTTCTTCTGATGCATTTTGTGGGATGGTTCTGTTAGATTAGAAGTAATAATGCAATCACTTTGGCTGAAAGGGAGGGGTACAGTTTGGGAAAGCAACAACTCTGGTGCACTTTAAACCCCTTGACTAGAGACGCCAAGAAGGAAATCAAATTCATTGGCAAATTCTGAGTAACCTCCTACAGCAAAATGGGAAAATAACTTCTCAGTTCATTTTCAGGGCTGAACTGTGTTGTCCCACAGCTTTCCAAAACTTACATGGACCTGGAAGATAAAGACTGATTACACTTTAAGCAACAATTTTGGAATGTGGGAAGACATAAGCAAAAGTTCCAGATTATCAAGGTATATTATTCCCTAAAGACGACTTGGTCCTTAATTTAGTGACAGAATTAAGGACATCAAAGCTTCAGTTCCTGGCCTCTTCCTGGCTAGGAAATTAAGCATAAAGAATTTGAATCACCATAAACTCCTGTTTTGCTATGTAAGCCACAGTGACATTTAAGAAACAGCAGGATTTGTGAGCTGAACAGTCCTTGCTTAAAACGATCCCCAGCTGAATCATTTGGGTCATTTATTGTTTGAAACTTAACCTACCTCACAGGATTGTTATGCGTCCAATAAGAGGACCATTGTGCCAAAAGTTTAAGCAAGTAAGTTTTATAAATGTGCCTCCGCTTCTGTCCCATCTTCTACAGTCCCTTCTAAGACCAGGTCGTTTTCTAATCATGCAAAAATTTATTTATTTATTTATCCATCTCCCTATTCAGAGCGACTCTGACCAACATAACTTTTTCCTACACGGCTGATAAGATTCCAGAATGTAGGCGCCAGTTCCGCCATCAGACTTGAAACGCTGAAGATTTCTCTTTCTCAGGTTAGAAATCCTTCTTTTATAAGGTTTTGAGGAACACCTGAAGAGAGTAAGGATCTTCCGAGTTTGGATCTCCTGGGGGTGGTTAAAATAATCATGTTTTGGAAATGAAACGAGTCTGAAGAAGTAAAGGCACTGGAGGAAAATGCAGGTTCAGCGCTACGACGGGTTTAAAGCGGAGTGGCCGCAGGAGACGGTTAAATTCTGCACTTTGCATTTCCCTTTCCCGACGCTGCGTTTTTACTAGGAAAAAAATGAATAAAACTATATTCAGCTAGGCCTAAACAGGTTTTCTTCAACCTGCTGCCCCCTAGACGTGCTATCTGCCTTAACTTAAAGGAAGACACGCGGAAAGAACCTCCTCCCTCCTTTACTAAATCCAACCTTTGAATTAACCTCTAGATTAAGACTTTTCCCAGGATCTTTTTGGCCCGTTTAAAAACGACTTCGATCCAAAAGCAGCGGACGCTGGGTTTTGTAGTTAAGCATCATCTGGAGATCGACAGGCCACTCTGCCCCAAACGTGGATCCAGCGGCTGCCAGAAAAGTTCTCTTCGCCTTTCAGGACATGTGGGCCACGTGGATTTTTCTCAGTCTTCCCACCGAGGTTGCTCTGAAAACTCACCTTGCTACTTCGGTCTGATCTGATTGATTTATCTGCAAAAGCGACAGTAGCGGCCGCGGGGCAGAGGCGCGGCTAGAAATGCGCTTTTAGTTCCGAGCATCCAGCGGGCAGTTCTTGGGGAACCAACGAAATCTTTTCAATTCTCTAGCTTTTCTTTTTAAGCGACACACTTTCTCCCCAATCTCCCCACTTTGCAGACTAAAATGTTTGGAAAGAAAGAAAGAAAGAAAGAAAGAAAGAAAGAAAGAAAGAAAGAAAGAAGCTATAAAGGAACACCAGAATAGTTTTGTTTGTATTTTAATGCCGTGATAGTTATTGCATTAATGTATTGAAGAACGCAGAAGATTCGATTCGCTTCCAAAGACCTTCAGCACACCTCGCTCTCCGCCTTTAGCACATAAGGCAACGTTATTTATAAATCAAGGCAGAGAGAAGATACTTGAGAAAAAAGGCAGATGCCTTCGCCATTAGATGGCAAGGCTTTCACTGCCGGCAGTGAAATATCTTTTAAGACACATCCCTGCTATTATTTGGCTAACAGAGGGATCCTGGTCCAGTTTATTTTGGAGAAGAATCCGCTGTCCTTCCGCTGTGGAAGGATGCAACCCAAACAGCATCTGAATGGTAATACCACCTCGAGTCTGTGGATTTATTCGGACACCTTTAGAAACAGACGCATTTTCTCTCCGGCCCAGTTCAGAAGCAAGGACATTGCAGGATATCTTCGGTCCCTCTTGTTTTGCTTGTCAGCTGGTAAGAAGCAATTATCCTTTTGGGGGTGGAAGGGAAGAAGTTTTCCAATAAACGTTGCATCTGTCGAAAATTACCTGGGATCCCTGCCTTTAGAAGTCAGGAAAGAAGCTAGACGGCACCCTAATTCTGATTTCTGACAGTGTAACCTCTCTCTTCTCCCTCCCCCCTCAACTCCGCCCTCCCGCTCATGAAATCAGTCAGCCTCTGATCCAGCGTCCAAGAACTGCGTGAAATCAACGCTTTGGGAGGGCTGCCCGAAGCGGGCGCTGAGGCACTTAGGGAAACGAGCAGGGCTGTAGGGACATCCTTGGAAAGCGCACCTCTTGTCCTCTAAATGGCCAATGGGACGCCGTGATCGAGGCATCGCAATCTAATTCCCCAAGTCGCGCCTCGGGAGATCCAGTCAGAGTTCAGCACGCAACTCGATCCCACATGCATTTGAACAGACTCCCTTAATTCACATTCTGAATGTGAAATTATCATCCCATTTGGAATATTCTTGGAATTCACTCCTAAAAGAAGCGGAATCCCTCTCCTCAAACCCAGTTCACGTTCTACTTGTAATTAGGGATCATTAATGAAATGTGGGTTTCATTAAACTGTTCTTGCTGAACGGTTTGGGATCTACAATTACAAATGAACCTTATTTGGAAGTAAAACATGTATCATTTGATTTCAATGCGGAAAACTGCGCCTATTTAGGATCGCAGTTCAACTTTTTCTAAGACTTCGTTTGACATGTGGTGATGGACAGAATTGGTTAAATGGTAGCGGGGCTTCTGCCTGAAAATGGACCTCAAACCCAAAGGCTGGGCACTATCTTCTTCAGAACTTGGTGGCCAGTGAAGACAACCAATTCCGACGACCCTAAATCGACCCTCATCGCGCAGCCAGATAGAAATGACTCGGAAGTAAATCTTGTGACAGAAAACGGCCCTCCTTCCAAGCAGACGATGATAGCATGGAAAGCAATGCCTCTTGATTCGACGGAGCTGAGATGGCTTTCAAGGAAGTGTTTAAGCGGATCGCCTCGGAAGGAAAATGTTTTGAGGATCCCAGGAGAGAATAACCGGAGAAACCGGGGTGCTTACAGCCCGTTTCTCCTAACCCCTTCAAAGGCCAGTGTGCTTGGGAGGGGGAAGGGAAGGTAGAAGTGTTACAACCCTCTGAGAGCAGCCGGCGGCTTGGGGAAGGGGCTCCCTCCGTTCTCTGGCTAACGGTCTGGGAAAGGCAGCGGAGAGGAGGGAGGGGGAAGCGGAAACTTTCGCCTCAGCTTCTACAAAGTCCCTCCTTCTCCACGTCAAGCCAATGACACCGCTGCCCCCAACTTTCCGCCAGCAGGAGCTATAAGAGCGTCCCAGGCTGCAACTTTTGCCCAACTCCCAGCCAGCTCCGAGGAGCCCTCGGGAGGGGAGCTGACAGCGCCAGAGATTTTCCTTCGTCCGCTGCCTTTCTTTTCGGATCTCCATGGCCTCCAGCCTCCCATCCAACTGAACGTTGCTGCCGACTTCATCTGGACTCTCGCAAGCCAAGGATCTAGCCGCGGGGACTGGCTGGCTAAGCATCGCCCGCCCGCCCCCCTCGCCCTTTCTAAAGGGCTGCTCGGTGTGCCGCAGGTTGGCCCTAGAGATGATGCAGCAGCAGCAGGACGAGTCCAACTCTCCAGTCTCGCCCGCCGACGAAAGCTTGAGCAACAGTGAAGAGGAGCCCGATCGCCAGCAGCAGCAGCAACAGCAGCAGCAGCAGCTTCAAGGCGCCGGCAAACGAGGGGGACGGAAGAGGCGCTCGAGCCGTAGGGCGGCTGCAGGAGGCGGCGGAGGAGGCCCCGGAGGCGGAGGCGGAGTGACCGGCGGGGGACTCGGCTCGGCAGAGGAGCCGTGTAGCCCGGCGCAAGGCAAAAGAGGCAAGAAGTCCGGCGGCGGCGGCGGCGGCGGAGGGGGCAGCAGCAGCGGCGGGGGCAGCCCTCAGTCTTACGAGGAGCTTCAAACGCAGCGGGTGATGGCCAACGTCCGCGAGCGCCAGCGCACGCAGTCGCTGAACGAAGCCTTCGCGGCTCTACGCAAGATCATCCCGACGCTGCCGTCGGACAAGCTGAGCAAGATCCAGACCCTCAAGCTGGCCGCCCGCTACATCGACTTCCTCTACCAGGTTCTGCAGAGTGACGAGCTCGACTCCAAGATGGCCAGCTGCAGCTATGTGGCCCACGAGCGTCTCAGCTACGCCTTCTCCGTTTGGCGCATGGAAGGCGCCTGGTCCATGTCCGCCTCCCACTAGCGTCCTGTGCAGCCTGGCGTGCCCGGAGACTTTAGGTAAGAGCGCAGGATTCGGTGAAGCGGGGCTGGGCTGAGGAAGTGTGGGACCCTCGCGAGGAAGCCGCCTAAGGACCTCCGAGGGACTGGCTGTCCCGGGGGAGTGCCGAGAAAGCGCTCCCCAGGGATATCCTGCCTGGAAATCTCCGGAATTTAAAGACTTTGGAAAACAATTGACTACTCCTACAAGGAATCTAGTCAGGCTTCCGAAGCCAAGCTTTCAAGGACTTTTCTCCCCTCATCAGGGTCCTTGATCTTGTAGCCCCTTTATTTGCAGAACAGCAGAAATGGAGGGTGGGGAGTGTCTTTTTCATAAAGACAGAGAGGCTGAGAGGAATCCTCTGCAACTTCAGAGAGGGTTGGGAGTTCATTATCTCAATCCTCTTCTGGAAGTCCCGCTGGGTGCCAACACAGCCTTCTCCTTCTCTTGAGCTGCGCCACCACAAGGTGGGGGTAGCTGAGTGAGGAGTAAAAGGAGTCGAACATCTTATCATCCCACTTTAGCAACCCTGTTTTCTTTGGCACGAAAATTAAGGACCAGGGTAGCTAATCCTTGAACAAGCCTTTACTCTTGATTCCAGAGGTGTTTTCAGAGGGACTTTCCCAGCTCAAGCACTCATCTTTCTCTCATTTCACACACGTGTCTGACCCAGCCTTACTCAACTCATTTTCTTCCATCCATATTCCAAAACTGTTCTTGATTTTTAACAGGAGACCTCGGGTCATCCCTTGGCCTTAGTAGAAAATCCTATAGAAATTTAGGGAATAGAAGGAAACTTTCTTTAAAATCCAGCTGTTAGGGTCCCCTTCCTCTCCCTGTTCTGCATCCTTTGCTTTCAGAGATGTTTTCATTTTTATCTATTTTATTTCCACTTATTATATTTCAAGATTTCCCCTTGGAAGGAGCATATACTTGAGGAAAAATAAGATTTTCTTGCATTTATTTTTCTCTTCAGGACATTTACACATATCAGGCTCATCTTCTTGTGCACCAGAGTGAAATCCACCAATATCTGTAAATGAGCAGCATGGAAGAATCTCTTTACAAGATTCTCCTGGGAGCTATGTGACATTAGGAATGTTTATAGTCCTGCTAGCACCTCTTGGATTTTCCACACACATTCCCAATTTCAGGAAGGGATGGTGGGTGTAAGAAGCTGAGTGCTTAATTGCATTTTTTTTTGCTGCTTGCTGCTTCTTCTCTTCTTCTTCTTCTTCTTCTTCTTCTTCTTCTTCTTCTTCTTCTTCTTCTTCTTCTTCTTCTTCTTTCTTCTTCTTCTTCTTCTTCTCTTCTCTTCTTCTTCTTCTTCTTCTTCTTCTTCTTCTTCTTCTTCTTCTTCTTCTTCTTCTCTTTCCCCCCGCATGAAAAAAATCAGAAAAATCACAGAATGGGTTCAATTTACTAAAATTTGGGTGAGGTTGTATATTCCAAGCTAAAAGTCTTGTTTGCTAGACTTCCCTGGCTAAGTATCTCCAGTAAAGCCAGCATATTACCAAAGGTCTACTAAATATTTTGGGAATGGCAATATAAGGAGTGCTTGAGTAGAAATTTAATTTTATGTCACAAAACATAAAACAAAATATGAAAGTAAACATGCAAGAATTACTGTTCCTGGTTTGTCCCAGATTATAACTGATAAAGGCCCATAATTTTGGTAGAAATGCAATCAAGATCCTATGCAAACCTGTGATGTATTTAGTCCTATGTTAGATGATCTCCTCTTGTAATATTGATGGCACTAATAGCCTGAAGCCTAATGTGTTTTTTAAGCTTTAGCTCTTCTAACATTTTTTTGCATACTTTCCTGCTAGAAAATTCATCAGGATAAAGTGTACATGGGATCATATGGTTAAATCTGCTAATTCAAAATCAAAGGATTTTTTTTTAATCGTAGTGGCAACTGGACCCTCATTTTTGGAGCCAAGTTCTTTTACGTATGGGGAGCTTTATTCACTTGCATAAAAGTAGTAGGATATCTGAATAAAGCTATGAATTTTCTTTTTAAAAAATGAATTGTTCCGTTTTAGCCATTTTATTTTCCTTCAGGAAGAACTGGAGATTAAGTCCTATTACATATTCCAGAGTAAATGCATCTAGAATTACCTGGTAACAGTACATTTATTCTGAGGCAAGTCACACTATTTTGTTGGAACTGACTTGTAGTACCATTGTGAGTAGAGTATATGATCCTTATCCTACTGAACACAACGGGTCTTGCTCCCAGGTAAGCTGGTGCCTGTGCTGCAGTTAGCACTGCCAACTTGGGGGAGTGGGGAGGGCAACTTGTTAAATCAGGCTATGGTGTAAAAAAATATGACCACATGGAAATACTACCTCAAAAATTAAAGGTCCTCTAGAAAGTTGTAGAGAGAGAAGAAAAGGGCTTCAAGCCTGAATCTGTGCCTGTTTACTCAGAAGTCCTACTGAGTTCAACTCTTCACACATAGGATTGTAGCTTTATCTGCAGCCTTGGGCCCATGGAAAAAATCAGCTCTTCCTACCCAACAACAGGCATTATTTTGGAGGAAATCTCACCAACTGGAGTTGATGGGAGGATCAACTGTAAAATACTTATAATTATCCAGAAATCCTTCTTTTATAAACTCAACTCTGAAGCAATTTGGATTTATGTCTGAGTAAATCTGATCAGGTTCAGGGTATTAGATCAGCCTTTCCCCAATTGCTTCCTTTGCCAGATCAGTCCGTGTCCCATTTGGTTGGAATGAGGGGTGTTGAAGTCCAAGGTGTCCAAAAAGCACCAGATCGGGAGAAAAAGGCACTAGTTGATCCCTCTCTTGGTCCCCTCCTTTCTCTAACCGCAGCCTGGGAGGGCCGAACTGGAGGTGCTCTGGGGGATTGGAGAGAACTAGGCTGGGATCGAAAGTCAAAGAGGCTAAACTTCTTAGGTAAGGGGTGGAAGGCGATAGGAGGGGGCCACTTCTGCAGAACTTCCATCGATGAGAAAAGCTGGCTAAATGCCAAACGGCTCTCGGTCAAATTGTTCAAAGAGCGGGGCCCAAAGCTTGAGGTCTAGCCCGCTGGAAAGACCAGGGGCACTATTCCAAAGCGTCGGTGGTTGCATGTGATGGACGTGTAGAATTGTACAATATCTGTACAATTCTGCGCGCGTTCTTCGGTTTTCTTGGACCCGATGCTTGATCCAGGATGCCAGCAGGCCAGCACACATCAACTCGGATTATTTTCACTCTTCCTAACCCCATCCAGTTCCCACAGTACACTAGGTGGCTGGCTTCCCACGAGGCGACTGGAGAACTCAGGAATTCCGGCTCCCGAAACAGACTTCCTTGGAAGAAAGTTACCCCCAAAAGGAGCGAGGATTTATTTAAGGCAGAATTTAGTTAAGCTCCAGGAGGATAATGTATCCCCCATTTACTAGATTCGCCCGAGATAGATCTCCGTGACGCTTCCTTCGGCGCGTTTCCTGATTTCATGCCTTGCCAATGTTCCTCCCCCCCCCAATCCGCCTTCCTTTGTGTTTTAATTGCCCCTTACACACACGCGCACTCACACCCTCACGCAGCCTTGCAAACCGCGGCTTGAAGCGAGCAGAGTCATAATTCTGGAGGGTCGCGAAAAGAAGCTTTTTCTTCTCGCTTTGCCCTCTCTTTCTAAGAGGGTTAATGTTTTTCTTTTTTCTAGTAACAGTTTTCTCCCTTCTCCCCTTCCCTTCTTGTCTCTCTCTTTTTTCCTCCCAGATAACATTGTTCTCAAAGGGAAGGAGAGAAAATGGACAAAGTAGAGACTCTGCACTTGGATTCGCCCTCACTCCACCTCCCGGGGTTATTTTCCCCCTTCTCAGACTATAGCACGCCAAGGATTTTCTTGGAAATGTAGACCCGTTCTTGGTCCAGGTTGCAAAGAGCAGGGCGTGGGGAGAGCAATTGAGGCAAGAAACCTAGAGCCCCTCAGACGGTGAGGTGGCTGATCCAGAGTGAAGGCTGGATGATCTTCCAAACATCTCTGCATTCTGATCGAAATCTGAACCAGCTCCCCCCCCCTTACCATTTTGACGAAGAATGTTGGAATTTTTTTCCCCTACTTCCTTTCCCTCTTTTTTGCATGCATGCATTCCCTAGAGAGCTTATGAGCCACTCATGAAAGGAAATATGTTATTGGAGTCCCCCACCCTTCTTTTTGAACAGATCTAATGACAACGAGCCCCCCTTTTTTAAGGAGTGAGAAAGGGAAATTCTCCCACCCACCGCCCAAAAACCATTTCAGCAGCAAAACCTTACTGGCTCAAACTCTCATGAGCAAAATATTTCAGGTTCCTTATTAGTTTTGCTTTGTTTTGGAATTGTTCCTGGAAAAAATAAAAAAAAGGGAGGTGCGGGGGACAAAAATGAATCATTCTATTTATTTATTGATCACCCTTGTTAAAATGCAGATAGATCCGGTGTCTAAATGCATTCCTATTTTGATGATTGTTTTGTAAATAACATTGTATATTTTTCTGCAATAAATAAATTGAACTGTTAAAGAAAGTTAACAGTTTGATCTGTACTGAGAAAAATAGACTTGAAACTCACAGTAAATAATACTGGCGCAGATAGTACCCAGAAGCGTAGGGGGTGAGGGTAGAAGAGAAGGGGAAATATAAACAAATGGGGGGGAAAGCGCAAATAAACCAGCTACTGACAGACACAGGAGTGTTAATTATTGAGACAGCTTTATGATTCTGTTTGTGGGTTTACTGAGCTTCAGATATTAACCCTCTTTCAGTCAAAACAACCAAGTACTTGACAGGTTCAAAAGCAGTGAAATGTGCGGGGGTTTCTTCCCTCCACACTCTTAATGAAAAACCATTGCCCCCTCTGTATCTAGTATCTTCATTAATGTAGAGGCTTTTGCTATCTTGGAAATCTGTGTTAAGTTTTGTTGCAGTGCTAAATAAACAGAACATCCACAATTACACCTCAAGTGCATACTTTTTTTTTTTTGGGAAGACAATGACAAAGGATTGGTTAGATTTACTCTA